TTTTTTTTTTTTTTTTAGTTTAACTTTTCCACCTCAAAACATTTTAGATGTGAGCCAAATATTTTAAAATATAATTACCAGGCAGTATAATTTAAGGAGCCCTGCTGGCATAGTAGTAAGGAATTTGATTGCTAACAAGAAGCTGAGCCATTCAAATGCACCAGCTGCTCTGTGGGAGGAAGATGAGGCAATTTACTTCCATAAAGATTTACAGCCTTGGAAACCCAATGGGGGTCCTTATGAGTTAGAATCAACTCTATGGCAGTGTTTTTTTTTTTTTTTTTCCCATACAATGTAACACAGAAGAAAGGCTTGATATCCTACTTCCAAAACAGCATTAGCCTACGGAGCACAGTTCTACACTAATACACATGGGGTTTCCATGAGACAGAATTGACTCTACAGCAACATGGTTTTTTCTGTTGTTGTTGCTGTTGCTTAATAATCTAACATGTTATGGATGCACAGAGAAAGAGACTCTCACTAACCTCTAGTGCATGAGAAACTAACTGGTTGACTTTAGGGAAAGCTTTAAGGAGTAGTATACATATCAACTGTTAGGCTTAATTTTAAAAGTTTAGAAGTAGTAAGTCTTTAAGATGTCACAAAGTTAACTGTCTATGACCCCTTGTCATCTCTGAATTCATCATTAGCAAACCAACAAGGAGAACGAAGAAGGAGAAACACCAGTTCTATTTTCTTAGGACAGAAGACAACAGCAGGTAAGAAACGGCCATACAATATTGGAGGGAGAAGTGGTGACTGACATAACAGAACAAAAGGACCTACACTCTGAGCGGGCGCAAACAGAATACTCCTAAGTGTGAAGCTGATTTGCCTTAAAGACTCGGAAAGGCTCAGAACTTGGAGGCACTAGAAAATATTGAAGGCAGGAAGAGGCAGGAGATCTGCGAGGCCCCTAGGATACTTTGTCCACCTGCAGAGTCAGGTCATTAGCCCTCCCCTACTTCCCACCAGAAGTGGTGAGATTTTTCTCTTGAGAATTTAACGAGAGAAGCTCCACATCTGGGGATACTGCGGGGAACAAAGGTGAAGCATGGAACTGAAAACACTGATGAAGTGAAAATATGAACACTGTGCTCAGCATTCAGGGCTCTGAAGGCTAGGCATGGGCTTCCTTTTCTTTCTTCTCTAAAGAAAATGAAGGGACTCAGAGAGAAGATCTGTGTAGCCTGACAACGCTTTGGTGGTTAGAAGGACAGAGGTGAAGGGATCGGTTAGTGAAGCCTACAAGTCCTACCACCCACACAGAACTCTGAATTGGCTCTTTAGTGACATATTATTAAATATGCAGCAAGCATTTGAGAAATATCACCAGCCTGATGTACTGAAACCAAATTAAACACAAACTAGCAAACATAAAGAAAAACAAAAAACAAAATTTTGCAGAAATAGAAAATACAAGGAGCAAAAAAGAACTAAAAAAATTCTAAAACCAAAAGCAAAAAATAGTATCCTTAAAGAAATGAGAGTGGAAACTGGATGCTAAGAACAAGATGCTATGAAAAAGGAGCAAAGAACCAGAATAAAATCTGCTTCTCCAGGAATTAAGATTTGATAGACAAAATTAGAAAACAGAAAACAGTGTTGTAAAATATTTAGAAGATAATCTGGAAGAAGAAATCGAAGAAATAGACAGCATTAAAGGAAATATAGTGACGCAGAATATCCATTCAGGAGACCCACTGCACAGAGGAGCTGTGGTGGTTCAGTGGTAGAATTCTCGTCTTTCATAATGGAGACCTGGGTTTGATTCCCAGCCAATGAACCTCAAGCACAGCTACCACTCATCTGTCAGTAGAAGCTTGCATGTTGCTACGATACTGAAAGGTTTTCAGCAAAGCTTCCAGACTAAGATGGATCAGGAAAAAAGGCC